AGCTACCTGGAAGGCTGAGGCGGAAGGATCACCTGGGCCCAGCAGGTCGAGGCTGTGGTGGCCGTGAGTGTACCACTGCACTCCAGCCTGGACAACAGAGTGAGACTCCAACTCAAAAAAAAAAAAAAAAATTTCAAATCTGTCAACCACCTCTGGCTGTTTTCATTTTTATCATAGATTCAAATTCCGCAAATATTTAACCCCATAAGATGTCCCTGTTCTTGTTTGTGCAGTTGATAGCCTGTTGTATTTATTGGCATATTTACTCTCTGAGTTGCTTGTCATTTCTTCCAGTATTTTCCACACACAGCTGATAAACTGTGAGTAACATCCTCATTTACTGGGAAGTGAACAAGGGCTCTGAGGGCCCCCAGAGGGCAAAGCTGGGAGGTAGCACAAACCACAGTCAAACAGAACCACAGGGCCTGCATTCTGTCAGCTGTGCAGCTTGAACACTTCAGTTAATCCTTCTGAGCCTCAGTTTCTTCATCTCTTAAGATCAGGTTTGTACCCCTACTTGCCTTGCCTGTGTTACAGGTATATTCTAGATTAAGTGAGATAATAGTTGTGAAAACACCGTGTAAACTACAGCAGGGACTGAAAACTTACCCATGGGCGACATACAGGCAGTAGCCATGTTTTACTGAACGACAGAAAGTGTTCTTTTTATTTCAGCCACGCCAATGTGAAAAAAGTCTATTTCACATAAAAATACAGATTTCTGCCTTTCTCCCTGGGGGGAAAAAAAATCTGAAGATCTGGCGACTGGAGTCCTGGCTTTACACCTGCAGACTCATAGCCTGGAGCTTAATGGAGCTTGCCCTCAGCCTGGGCACAAATCTCAGTTGGGTCAGACCTCACTGTTCTCAGGACTGACACATAGACACTCGCCCAGGTGCCCAGGTTGACTCCGCTCTGCCTGCTTTATCTCGGTTTGTGACCCTTGCTAAAGCACGATATCAATATTAGTTGTTATTACTCATTTAAAAGCCAGAGACACATAGGAACAGAGCTTTCTAGTGTTTAGTGTTGCTAAGCGCTAAAACCGGTGACTGAGAGAGGTTGTAGAAACGCTTTCCCTGGAGACCTGAAAATAGAACCTATTTAGGGGGAGGGAGATGGGATTAACGGTAGTAAATATCTGTCTGGGGACGGGGAAACACCTCTTATCAACAAGGGTGCCTGAACGAAACGTATTTGTATACCTAACCCTTAACTGTACCCCACAATATCATAATAAAAAATATTGATTATAAAAGAAATTGACAGATAAAATTGAATGTATTTATCATGAAAAAAAAAAATAGAACCAATTTATCCACAGCCTCTCCAGGATGCAGGGGAAGGACAAAATGGCTGCACCAAGTTTCCTCTAGGTTTCAATATTGGGCTGGATATGGGAAGGAGCGATTTTAGAATCTGTATGCCAGAAGGAGGGGGATGAACATTTTGCATAGGTAGATCCTATATATTTTGTTTGTTTGTTTGTTTTTGAGTTGGAGTCTCACTCTGTCGCCCAGACTGGAGTGCAGTGGCCGCTCCCGGTCACCGCAGCCTCGACCTGCTGGGCTCCGGCGATCCTTCCGCCTCAGCCTTCCAAGGAGCTGGAATTACAGGTGTGCGCTACCACGCCCGGCTGATTTTTTGATTTATTGTAGAGATGAGGTCTCGAACCCGCAGGCTCAGGCAATCCACTCACCTCAGCCTCCTAAAGTGTGGGATTACAGGCTGAGCCACCGAGCCCGGATAGGTAGATTCTATATTGTAATATAATTCAATATTTAGAAAATAAAATAAATTTTTTTGAAGACTTTTATTAAAAAGAGGCATGGATTTGTCAAAACTTCCCTAACCGTCCACTTAAAAATCTCTGAATTTCACTGTATGTCAATAATACCTCCATTTTTTTGTATTTTGTTTTTGTTTTTTTTGAGTTGGAGTCTCATTCCGTCGCCCATACTGGAGTGCAGTGGCACGCATGCTCATGGCCATCCCAGCGTCAACCCACTGGGCACCAGCGATCCTTCTGCCTTAGCCTTCCAAGTAGTTGGAACTACAGGCGCGCACTCCTACACCCGGCTAATTTTTTTTTTATTGTAGAGACGAGGTTTCGCCAAGTTGCTGGGGCTGGTCTCAAACCCGCGGGCTCAGGCAATTCACTTGCCTCGGCCTCCCAAAGCACTGGGATTACTGGCTGAGCCACTGAGCCCGGCCAAAACCTCCATTTTTAAAAAGTAAAAACAAAATTTCTAAAGGAGACAGGGAGTAAATTATTATTCTAACCTGTATCAGGCACTTATTTTGTGCCAGACATGTGCCAGACAAGCTTACATGCTAGTTGGATTATTTTATCCTCACAGTACCTTTTAAGTAAGGTAGATACTATTACAATCCCCATTTTACCAGGTGTTGAGACAGAAGTTCAGGGCGATTAAAAATATATATATATTAATTTCTCCAACTGGTAGCTGGAAAAGCCAAATCTTGAATTTCAAGACTGCAGGACTCCAGGGCCCAGATTCTCACCCACTCATTTGGTTGATTGCAGAGAAGAGGGAAATTAATCATTGTAAGCTTGAGGATGAAGGGATAATGTAAATATAACTTTACAGGAGTATCAGTTTGAACATCTATTGACGAACACACTTCGTTTATTCACTATTAGGTACGCTTATTCCGAAAACCTATTACCATTGGTTTGTTATGGGTTGGGTGATCAAACTCCATATTCGAGGGAAAAGGATCTTCTGAGACATTGGTGTTTCCTTTCCAGGGGAAATTGCAGCTTCCTTTGCCTTAATAGTAACAAGTTTTGTTTTCTGACAAAACATCTCATGACAAGATGTTTTTGGCTTCAATAGAATACACTCTGACCCACCCAGCCAGGTTGTTTGTGTATCTTGAGACCATTTCTTTTTTTTTTTTTTTTTTTGAGTTGGAGTCTCACTGTGTCACCCAGACTGGAGTGCAGTGGCCGCTCCCGGCCACCGCAGCCTCGACCTGCTGGGCTCCGGCGATCCTTCTGCCTCAGCCTTCCGAGTAGCCGGAATTACAGGCATGCGCTACCTCGCCTGGCTGATTTTTTGATTAATTGTAGAGATGAGGTCTCGCTGCCCAGGCGGGTCTCGAACCTGCGGGCTCAGGCAATCCACTCACCTCAGCTTCCCAAAGGTGCGAGATGACAGGCTGAGCCACCAAGCCCAGCTGAGATCTGGGAGTCTGATGACTGCTGAGAACTCTCCTACAGACAAAGGATTTATGCAAAATAATCCTCCCACTTCTGGAGGTGCAGAGATTTTCCTGAAGGTCACTAATGAATCCCAAGTTAAGAACCTTTGCACTAAACCAGGATTGGACCAGACTCCAGGGAATCCCAAGCTAGCCTTCAGATTCGCTGATTATTCCAGGAACCTCGTTACCAGTAGGCCAATCACCTGATTTTAGTTTTCTTCTGTCCTGATGGCTTGATGTCACTTCTTGCTTTTTTCCTTGTCATCTGGTAACAAGTTGGTCCTGCTAAACAGACTTCAGGAAATGCTGGCTTTGCTGATTCTCATTCCTATTATCACCTTGGACTTATCTAGACATCTTTGGAAAGTCCCATTTATTCACCAGGACACACACACACACACACACACACACACACACACACACACACACCCCTAAGTCATTGATGTGCATGAGGCTTGTGATCAGTCTAGTTCTCACTTCACAGCCATCTCAGTCACCGAGACTTGTAAAACAGAGGTCTATTCATCCACCATATATGGCTGTTCCATTTGTTCACTAGACTAGAGTAGCTGGTCTGCGTTGAGAAAGCTACTCACTGGGGCAGAAATTGAGCCCGTGCTCTCCTCATCAAGCTAGATGTCCACGGCTGGTTCTTCCTGGAGGAATGGGTGTCTTTTTCTAACTCATATAGATAACAGTGTATGGGACAGTGGCGGTCCTGCCTCATTAGCAGTATCACCAAGGAGTCCTGGAGACTGACACATCAGAGTATCGATGTCCCTATTCTCATTTTGTATCGCCAGTCACTTTGACTCTTCTTTCTCCTCACTGAATAAAACTCCCAGTGTTCCCAGGGCCACATTTGCTTGGGAGAAATGAGACCTGAAGGAGCCATCGCCTACCTTGCCTATCTCCATTTCAGGGATTCTGGTTTCTGCTATGTCAGGCTGAGGAGGAGAGAGGATGGGAATGGCTGGATATTTCTGTTAACGTTTTCCCTCCCCTCTTTGCCAACTTCGTTTCTAGCTATCATTTATATCTTGAATTAAGCATCACTTCTTCAAGGACAGACCAGTTCCCTCTTACATGTCTTATAGCACCACATTTCTCTCTTGCATTGGACTTACCACAATTGCAGTTGCATATTTACTTTGGGTATTATTGAAAGACATATTTCAATTTTGTATATATCTATATGCCACAAAAGCCTAAGCTTCATGAAAGCGAGGGCCGTCTTATTTGTATTTTCCATTGCTTCCCTAGCTATCTGGCACTTGATAGGTATTTAGTTAAATGTTTGCTTGAATGAATGAATGGATGGATGGGAAGTTATTAGTCCAGAAAGTGAAAAGACTTAAAATTTTGATTGAGGAATTGAAGCCTTCTTACATCCAGTAGGAAGCCAATATCCTAGGCTAAATAAACTTCTTATCTCTCCCCAGCATTCTAGTTTCGAACTGTGTATTATGTCTCTGATATTCCACCATTATGATTGCTTTTCACTCCTCCCCAACTTCAGAAAATCTGTCCAAAATCTTTCTTAAAGAAAAGAAGCTACTGCTGTCTACCCTTATGTGCCCTGAGAGGCTGTATACTGTGGTGACCTCTACATGGGCTTTGAAATCAAGTGGACCTAGGTTTTAAACCTGGGTTATCCACTTGCTGACTGTGATTTTAAGCAAATGCTTAAATGTCTCAGCCTCGGTTACTTCAGTCTATAAAACGGGGAGCAATAATATCTTCCTCACAGGATTATATGAGTTAAGCAGTGTGAAATGTCTGTCAGAGAACCTGATGCCTAGTAAGTGTACAATCAGTAGAAGTCTTTATTATTAACTAAATTAGATTCTCATAAGAAAGGTAGAGAATAAAATACTCGGAGGAACTGCACCAGAAAGAGTTAATACATGGCATCTTCCTTTTTTTATTCATTTCTCAGAAAATATGGAAGGAAGAATATTTTCGCAGCTGATATAATTTGAGTTTTCATTTGATAGTGAGTCCTTTGTGTTCCCTGAATATATTTCTGTGTCATATGATGGTCCTAGTTCTTTAGAAGATTTTTCATCCTCTCTGACACCACCCAGCGCACTGGGGAGAGGAAGAAAAACTTATAACCAAGGCACCGATTGTTAATGTAGCGCATAAGCTCGTGGAGACTTCTAGATCAGAGGAGCATGTCCAGGACCAGCCAGGCAGCAAGCAAGGGCTCTGGTGAACAGTGTGGCTTTCTAGATGACAACGGCAAGTGCTGCTTATGAGGTTAGGCCAAGCAACCGGGGGTATGAATTCCTTTACTCTGAGAGGAGTGAACCTGGGAGGGTTGGCCTCTCAGTCTTGGGGAAGGAGGCAGTGTGATGGCTGGGGACTTAAGTCCCAGCCTGTAGTGGAGGTCTTCTCATCCACTTCTGATTCTCTCATGACCAGTTTCAGCAGAAAGCTCAGTAGCCTGAAGTTATGGAGGAGGCTTATTGTGTGTTCCCGAGAGACCAATAAAAGGTCTGTAGTCTCTTTAACCAAAACCATAGTGTTTCTCTAATAATCAAGTCCTACAGGGCTTGGATAAATTTGAAAACTGCAGAACTCTAAGCATGAGGAAGACGCTAGGACTCTACTGGCCTGCTTCCAGTGGGGCCGGGAAGGTCTCTTATTTTCTTACTCCAGGAAGAACGTGTGATCCATCTCAAGAGGCTCGTCGCATTGAGTCCTTGAGCATTTACGAGTGTCTGCCGTGCCCTGGGTACAACTCTAAACACTGCGGATACAGAAACACTCCCCTCGCCCCTGTGGTCATAAATGTATTTTAAGTTAAAGATACTTCTATTCCAGAAGCATTGTTGGCAACCACAAGTTAATTTTTGAAAGAAGAAGAAAGGAAATAAATTCCATAATCTCACCTCCCAACATAGACTTCTTTCATGTTGGCGTGGCCCTTTTTTTTTTAACATCTTTTTAAAAATCCCAGCCAGACACAGTGGCTCATGCCTGTAATCTCAGCACTTTGAGAGGCTGAGGCGGGAGGATAGCTTGAGGCCAGGAGTTCGAGACCAACCTGGGCAAACTAACTTTTCATTTCTACAAAAAAAAAGTCCAAAAATTAGCCAGGTATGGTGGTGTGCACCTGTAGCCCTAGCTACCCAGGAGGCTGAGGCAGAAGGATCACCTGAGCCCAGGAGACGGAGGCTGCGGTGAGCGGTGATCATGCCACTGCCCTCCTGCCTGGATGACAGAGAGAGACTCTGAGTCAAATAAATAAAATAAAAATGAATGAATGAGTGAATGAACATCTCTAATGAAGTAGCTTTGATGATTTTACTTAGTCATATTATTCAAGTTTTGGGGAGGAAAATCTCTTAAGCTGTAGGTGCTTTCTGTTAACTAATCAGGACCACAAGGCCCTGAGCAGTGGAGCTCCTGGCTACCTTTCTGAGTTCATTTCCCATTATCCTCCTCATTCTTGGCAGCCTCAGACGGTTCCTTGCTCACACCAGCCTGCTTCTACCTCAGGACCTGTGATCTAGTATTCCTCTCTCCAGAACAATCTTCCCTCTGATATTCGCACGGCTCACTCCCTCACTTCCTTCCAGTCGCTGCTGAAATTTCATCTCCTTAGAGAGGCTTTCCCTGACCCCTTCTGGTACCTTCTATTGCTCACCATCCCTCTATGCAGATGAAATTCTCTTCAAATCACCTATGAGCCCTTGCCATATGTATTTTTTAACAGACTTGTTTGATAAAACCCATCGCCTCCCACCGGAATGCATCGTCTGAGAGGAAGGGCTTTATCTGTCTTGTTCACGGCTTCATCCCTGTCCTCTAGGGCAGTGGCTGGTTCAGGAGAGGCACTCGTCTGCCCGATGAAGGATGCTTTCTGCTTCAGCTACCCGTCCTTTGCGTTTTGCTCAATGGATGCGGCGAGGAACTGCCTGCTTCCCTTGGGATGGCATTCATTTAGAGATGACTGTGCTGAGCAGAGGAAACCTCAGAGAGAGAAGCACTAACTTGCAAAACCTTGAGAGTAAAGACATGGAGGCCACTCAGCTTTCTGTGGATGACTGGAATCAAGCACCCTGCTGCAAGGGAAGATTCTCCCAGGGAGCAGTAAACACATGATTATTTCTGCGGCTTGTATGGAAGATCAGCTGGGAAGGGCTGGTCACATTTGCTTGGCAGAATCCTTCTTTTTCTTTGTAATCTTAACGTGTACTCCCTTTACTTCCTCAGTGGTGTCAGACAGCTGGTGCAATGGCTGAGATCTTTCTCTTGCCTTCCATCAGCACAAACTGCCCTGGAATTGCGGAATTCTCTGGACAGTCAGTGTGTCCATCGTTGACGCTTCCGTTCATATCCTGCCCAACATCACATCACCTGGTCATATCCTTTCTCTGCTCTGTTTATGAAGAAGAGTAGAAATAGTTTGCCCTGAAAGGAGTAGGAAGCCGATGTTGCACACGGGCACCCACAATGGGAGGAGAGGGGCTTTAGTGACCACAGACTTTGGATTTAATATTTTAGAGCCCAACCTGCCTTCTGCATGTACCTGACAAAAGATGCTAAAAACTAAATACGCCAAAAACATTTTTCCCATTACCCTAGAAACATCCATGAAAGTAAGAAAATAACACTGCCTACCAAAATTGTCCAGCCAAGTATTATTGAAGTTCTCTATAAAGACTCCAGTTAAAGATGATAGCTTTGGGGGTACACTTACATCAGGCTTGTACTCGGTAGGCTCAGAAGCCTCTTACGGGCTACCTTGGACTGAAGAAGCTTGATAGCTGGCGAGCCCTCATCCCTTCCCTTCCTTCAGGTGGTCCTCCTCTCCCATCACCTCCTGGTCACCCTCAACCTCCTGAGATGGTTTGAGTCGCCTCTGTTAAGCAAAGCGTCCGGAACTCCCCTTTGATTCCTCTGATATGCCCAGCAACTAGTCTGTCCTCGTCCCTTAGAATGGGTTTCTCAAAATGGGATGCACGGATCACCCGCTTCTGAATCATCCCGGGTGCTTTTTTTAGAAACACAGGTTTCGGACAGCACCTCTGACCTGCAGACATTTCTGGGGGGTGGCGTGGGAGCACGTGGTGATTTGAGAACTTCCGCCTCAATCTTGAGAGTTTGTGCTTAGTCGCTTGACGCACTACTCTTAGCGCCTTGCTCCTCTGGTATGATTTTGGGATGTGCAAGTGTGTCTGTTCTTCTCACCTCTATTCTTCCGACGCTGCCCACCTCCCTGGGCACACACTCCACAGGACTGTGTGCATATTTCTTTTCTCCAAGGCTGAAGTTTCCTTCTACTTCCAAGCAGCACCCCTTTCTAGAAATTCCCCTTTCATCTCTCTCTCTCTCTCAAAACAGAGAGCTTCCCTGGTTTTTTTGTTTTTTGGGGTTTTTTTTTTGCTAGATTTTGCAATTGTTGGCATTCTTTTCCATGTTTGGGAAGGACCAGGAGGAAGATGGGGCCTCTGTTACATAAGAAAGCAAGCAGGCAGGCAGGGACCCTACCGCAGGAGGCACAATTAAGAATGTTCCCAGCAGGAAGGCAGCTCTCCGGGAAACACAGAGAGCTGTCAGGACGAGGGACCTTTCTAATCACGCCTGACATTTCACAGCCTCGAAGGCGGAAGGACTGCCCTTATTCCAGAGGCGCGGTGTCGTGCTGCGACACCCCAGACACCTGCGTCTGAGGCTGCGGTGACTCGGCCTCCAACCGGGCAATGAATCAGAGCACGCAAAGGACTTTGTTGCCCAGGAAAAGAGAAAACATTGGCGGCGGGGGCGGGGGGGGGGTCTTATTTGGACAGTGACTGTGTCTAAACCCGGGACAGATAAGGCTTTGGAGGAGGATATTACCTCCTTGGGGCTTAGCCCTGCTCAGGAAGGCTCCGTGAAGCTGATCACACAGTCCTGCTCCCGGGAAGCGGAACAGACAGGAGCGTCTCCCAGTCTCTTCTGTCCTGAGGGGACCGGGATGACTCACTTGTAACCATCTCAATATGAAAACAGCTTTATTTTTTTCTTAGCATAAAAAGTAATGTATGCTCATTCTAAAAGGGTCATAAAACATGTAAAGATACCAGGGAGAAAGCAAAAATTAAATGTAATTCCATCCCTTAGAAGATAATCATTGCTAACATTTTAAGAACACTTTTATTCATATGTACAATATTTTAAAACAAAATACATTCCTATTGAAAGTACTCTTTAGTAAGCTGCATTTTTAAACTCACCTCTTATACACATTTCCATGTCAATAAAATATCACTTCAACAAAATTCTTCTTAATGATTTCACTGTCTCCCATCAGATGAATATAACCTCCTGAGGCTGTCTCTGATTTTTAATCATGATAGACTATACTGTAGCAAACATCTTCATAGTTAAATATTTCTGCAGAACTGAGAGTACTTCCTTATGACACATTCCTTGCAACGGACTTGGTGAGTTGAAAAGTATACTTTTTTTTTCAGTTTTTGCTATCTATCTTCTAGAAAGGTTATATCAACGTACATTCCTACCAGTAGGGAGTAAGAGTACCCACTTCTCCACACTTTCTTTGATTCTGGAAATTACCATTCTTTTAAATCTTTACAAATGTCAGGAGCAACAACCACAAAAAGACGTCTCACAGTTGTTTTAATGTTTATTTCTTTATTAGCGTTAAGAAGTTTTTTTCTGTTTCTTGTTTTGTAAATTCACTTAGCCTTTTTCCCTCTTTGAGAGTGATAAATTTTCTTGATATTTAGTTTTAAGTACTTTCTGTATAGTAAGGATAAAAAT